GGACAAAGCAGACGTGAGGGTGGCACAGCTGTAACCCTACTGCTTGAGAGCTAAGGAGAGCAACACGCATTTGAATCCAGCCTGGGTTACAGAATGAGACTCCATCTCCAGACGCCAACTCAAACCTGACCACCTGACCACACACAGGTCTCTGCAGTGCGGACTGGGTTACAGAATGAGACTCCATCTCCAGACATCAACTACCGCAAACCTGACCACCTGACTACACATAGGTCTCTGCAGTGTGGACTGGGTTACAGAATGAGACTCCATCTCCAGATGCCAACTCAAACCTGACCACCTGACCACACACAGGTCTCTGTAGTGCAGACTGTTAGTTTCCGTCCAATTTAACATTTATAAGGTCCTCAATGGATCCTCTCCAAAAAATACACTCTAGCTTCTGATTCTAAATCTTTCCAAATGCCAAATGATAAAGTTCCCTGGAAAATTATTGGCACCACAAAGCAACAGTAAGCCCATCACCAGCTCAGGCACACAAAGCTCTTTCTTCTACCTCAACATCCACTAGAGATAAGAAAAGTATTGCCCCTACAATGTAGGGAAGAAATGAAGAAAAGATGATTAAAAAGAGGCTTGGAAAATAAGATATGTCTTAAAATCTGGCTATCATCCTCCTTTTTCAGTCAGAAGCAAAACTTATATAGAATCTTATTCTCACATGATCAAAACAATGTAGGTAAAAAGAAGCAACAGGAAGACTCAGAAGAGAAAACAGGCATCAATTCTATCTATGGGATAAAAATGTCTTTTTAAAATGAATTCCAGAACGGTAGCAAGCCAACCCTGCCAATATCAAAATCCTTTCCAGTACCTGCTAATACCAAACTCATTCTCTGCACATCAGTTTAGGAGCACTGTAGGCACTCTGGAAGAGCTGTCCCTTAGAAGACAGTGCAAGGCTCTAAATGACATTTTACACTCATTAACAATCCAGTGACATAAACTATCTTTTCCCTCAGGTCTCTGAATATCCCTGAGGCATCTGAATATCTTTGGTGTGTGTGTGTGTGTGTGTCAGTCATAGGGCTTGAACTCTGGGCCTGGGCGCTGTCCCTCAGCTCTTCAGCTCAAGGCTAGCGCTCTACCACATGAGCTACAGAGTTCCTTCGATTTTCTGGTGGTTTATTGGAGATAAGTCTCATGGACTTCCTGCCATGGCTGGGTTTGAACCAAAATCCTCAGATCTCAGCCTCCTAAGTAGACAGGATTACAGGTGTGAGACACTGATGTACGGCAAGACTTTTTTTTTAAATAACTAATTTGTTTATAATCACAAAAGTTGTATAGTTACAAATGGTTCTCTTTATGATTTCAATGTTCTTTCAGTAAGTGGGCATTTTCAGAGGAAACTGACTTTTTAGCAGTATTTCCTGTGAATGCCTTAGGGTCAACTTTCTAACTGAAAATTTTAACTCAGGCTAAATTTATTTATGAAAAGGCTAGCAGAAGTTTTTAACCTCAAATGTGCTCACTCTTAGCAAAAACTAATAATCGCAAACAATTACGTTTTGTCACAGAAAAGAACACTATTGTACAAAGATAACAAAATGGCATTGTTTTTGCTTTTCCTCTGAAGAGCTGAGCTTCTAGAGAACACAGTTTGTCAGTGTCAGTGTTGTTTCTGGCTGCTGGAATATCCCACATAGTCACATGTGGACTCTGAATTCTTTAGCCTCTCTTCAGATGAGGGCCAGACAGATGAGAAGACTCAAACAAGTCTCTTCCAGCAGAAGACAAATGTCTCAACAACAGTGCTCTCAGTGTGTGGAATCCAAACCCCTACCATCCAGGAATCACTGAGAATATTCCTGCTGCCTTGATGGCTGAGTCACAAATCATTCACTTTTAAAGAAGAAATATGAATCTGAACATTACTAACGAGAGTTTGTGGTTGAGCCTTGTCTGACAACCCTTTCTTACCCTCCCACTATGCACTTTGATAGAAAATGAACACATAAACATACTTAAGGGGCTGGGAAGGTGGCTCAGTGGTAGAGCACTTGCCTTGCATGCCTGAGGCCCTGGGTTTGATTCCTCAGCACCACATAAGCAAAAAGAAAAAAGCCAGAAGTGGCGCTGTGGCTCAAGTGGTAGAGCGCTAGCCTTAGCTGAAGAGCTGAGGGACAGCGCCCAGGCCCAGAGTTCAGGCCCCACGACCGGACCCAAAAAAAAAAAAAAAACTTAAAACATGAACTTTACAAACACTAACACATAAAGAAGTGCAATAAGCATAATAAAATAAGGTCCTAGAAGCAAGGGACATATTTGCCAAGTGAACTGTGGCACACCTAGACAGCTAAGTCCCCTGCCAGAGGGAACATTTCCCCAAGAAATGACTGACATGTTTCCTGGCACATGCCAATTGGTAGTGGGACAGACAGCAAGATAACCAGGGACAGTCTAATAGATATAAAGGCACCAGCAACATCAGCACAGCGCACAACAGTTTACGGACTTCAAGAAGGTAACATGGCAACAATGTGAAACCTAGGGCAGGGAAGAGAAAGGGATGAGCTAGAATAATGGAAAAATCACAACCTATATCATAATATTCAGATTAATGGTAGATTGTCAAAGGAATAGGACAGTTTTCATCCTCAAAAAAATATATATACTCTAAGCCAAGTGTGGTGGCTCATGCCTATAACCTCAGCTACTCAAGAGAACTGCAAGACTGCCATTTATAGCCACTAAAGTGAGAACCTCATCTTCTCAAACAAGCTGGGCAAGATGATATATGTCTGTAATCCTAACTATACACAGGTAGGAGGACTGAAGTTTAAGGCCAGCCCCAGGTAAAAAATACAAGACCTATCAGAAAAATAACTAAAGTAAAAGAAGGCTGGGGCATTGCTCAAGTGGCAGAGCACCTGCCTTGCAAACCAAGAGGCTCTGAGCTCAAACTGCAGTACCATCGTAGACAGACAGACAGACAGACAGGTGACAGACATAGATAAAACTATATTTCCTTTTCAAAGTGAATAACCATACATCCCACCTAACAAGTTAAGTTCTAACAACTAGCCTGCTTTCTTGTCACTAAAGACTTCCTATTCAGACATTACATATAATAACCAAATCACAGAATCAACAGAATTAATTTATTTTCATTCCTTCTTGGCAAGAAATAGAATGTTATGATACTTCCTTTTATTGTTGAAACAATCTGTAATTTCTACAATTTAATTCTGGGTTAATTCCTGTAAGGATTTAACCTAAAGATATAGATAACTTTGAGGAGCAAGAAATCTCGATTTGATTTCAATCTCCAATTTACTTCTCACTTAAGACAACTGAGAGTCTAGACTGCATTAAGTACACAATCATAATAGTATGTGTTACGTGGCAAGCATCCTACACTTTCACACCCGTTACCATCATTTTATCCCTTTAATGGGTTTATTATGCAAGTGTCCCTTCTTCCATGTAATGAAAGCTAGTCAAAATCCCTGCACAGCAGGCATGTGAGCAGCTTTTCCTGCTGCCTGGTAGCCCACCAGCAGCCACGCTGTGGAAAGTACAATTTTTTTTTGGGGGGGGGGGGGGTCCGGTCGTGGGGCCTGAACTCTGGGCCTGGGCGCTGTCCCTCAGCTCTTCAGCTCAAGGCTAGCGCTCTACCACTTGAGCCACAGCGCCACTTCCGGCTTTTTTTCTTTTTGCTTATGTGGTGCTGGGGAATCGAACCCAGGGCCTCATGCAAGCGAGGCAAGCGCTCTACCACTGAGCCACCTTCCCAGCCCTGGAAAGTACATTTAGCAATGTGTGTCTTGTAAATACGGTGCCACACTCGCCCCAAAGTAGTCTACTACAAGCAACCTCAAGGATGCCTCGGACCAGCCTCAATGTGGTCTTTCTGCCAGGACCGAGCTACAGACAGACAGACTTCAGAGCAACCCTGGTGACACACACAGTGTTAACTAAAGTAAGCTTCTGCACTGGACCCAAAACAACACAAAGGTCAAGCACAGCACTAAGACTGGTGAGCTGCACAAGGCCTGGAGGCCAAGGGGCTGAGCCCACTGACTAACTGCTGCAATCAAGTTTTTTCTACATCTCACTTGAATTTTTCTAGTCTTGGAACTGGGTAGACTTCTCTCAGTTCTGACTCTTGCAGTACCTAACCACCACTATTTGGGTTTTGCTTTGTTTGTTTGGTTTGCTTTTCTTGCTCAAATAAGCACTCTGGGACATATTAGCCTGTGGACCTTTCCTCCAGCAGTAGTGAGGGAAGTTCTATGTGAGCTTTGCTTCCCTCTCTGAAATGCCAGCTTAAGCCACTTCCAGGAGGAACAGAATGAACTTATACTAAAGGAGAAATGTCAGTGTCAACAGAAATAAAGATAGGATTAAGTCATTAAAGTGAAGGCTGAAGTTTCCATTCCTAGTTTAGACCCAAGTAATATTCCATTAGTAAGCCACACTTCAAGATACCTGCCCATGCCAGGTGCTGGAGGCTCATGCCTACAATCCTAGCTACTCAGGAGGCTGAGATATGAGGATTGAGGTTCAAAGCCAGCCCAGGCAGGAAAGTCCATGAGACTCTTATCTCTAATAAACCACTAGAAAACGGGAAGTGGTGCTGTGGCTCCAGCAGTAGAGCGTTAGCCTTGAGCTGAAGAGCTGAGGAACAGTGCCCAAGCTCAGAGTTCAAGCCCCACGACTGACCCAAAAAAAAAAAAAGATACCTGCCCAACACCTGAAAATTCTTAGAATTAACAGTAGTTCATTTGTCCTATTCAACTTACTCATTTTCAGCTTCACTAAGTGGAGAGGCCTAAAACAAATGAACTGTTGCTCTTTCTACCAGCTCCTGAAAAGGTGCAGCTGAGACAAGTGTGGAGGCTGTCTCCACGACTTCCCTATCTCCTCTCGTCAACTCCTTGCCTCCACTTCTGTTTAAGACTGAATTATCTTGTACATTGGCTTACATCTTTTCTCATAAGACAGAATTTAATTCACAAATAAGGAAACAGTACCTTTATATCAAAATTACAGTCCAATCTTCTAATTAGCACAACAAAAGTGCCAGATGAATTGTCTTTTAGTGGTGGAGGTGCTATGGGTTCACAAGCATTCTCTGGCTTTGAGTTAATCAAAAAACCCTGAAAAAGAATTGGTAATAATTATCTATTTCACTCAACAAACCAAGTTACCTCTACAGATACTTGTAGTTTGTTTTATATATTTTGCAATATGATAGATGTATTATCAGAAAGCAATGCAGAACTTCTCAAGTAGTTTTAGTTCCATAAGAGCATTTGTTTTTCTTAAGTGAGCTCAGTCTCTCTTAGTATTTAAGTTGGTTTTTTAAAAATCTATATGTAAGATAGTACTCCATTAATCAAAATGCCTTATACTCAAAAACTGACATGTTGAATTCAAATACCTTTATACAATAACTTAAACAAAAAATAGATGGTTACTCCAAAAATAACCAGTTTCTACGTTGGTATTTTCTTCAACAACAGCATTTCTAAAGCAAGAAATGTTCTTATAAAGTTTTAACTACTCTGGAGACATAGACAGTGGCACTGTGGTTGAAGCTAGCCCAATGTGCTGGTGTCTCCTAGCAGTAGTACTAGCCACTCAGAAGGCTGACATTTTATGAAGGCAGTGCGAAGCCATGAGTCTCTAATCTCCAATTAACAACCAAAAAGCCAGAAGTAGAACTATGGCTCAGGTAGAAGAGCACCAGCCTTGAGCAAAAGTGCTGAGAGCACTGAAGTTCAAGCCAAAGAAACCAGCATACACACACTAAAAAAGAAAAGAATAAACCAACATTCAAAACCTACACTGTTCCATAATATTAAAAAATCATAGTCATTAAAAATAATGTAAATCCTTGTTTTTCAAGAAGAAGAGAATCCGAATACACAATTTAAAAAGGCAAATAGCAAATTTCTATTAGTGTTGTATATACATTTGTAGTATATATAAACATTTACATAAATATATCTATACACACATCTACAAACACACATGGCATATATCCTAAAAAAAAATATATCTGAAATATACCAAAATGTGTGGCTACTGCAGAATACAATAACAGATGATCTTCACTTACTATTTTTTTGTTTTTTGGTCGGTCATGGGGCTTGAACTCTGGGCTTGGGTGCTGTCCTTGCACTCTTCAACTCAAGGCAAGCACTCTACCGCTTGAGCCACAGTGCCACTTCTAGTTTTCTAGTGGTTTACTAGAGATAAGAGTCTCATGGACTTTGCTGCCCGGGCTGGCTTTGAACCTTGATCCTCAGATCTCAGCCTCCTGAGTAGCTAGGATAACAGGCGTGAGCTACTGGCACCCGGCTATATAAGGATTTGTTGTTATTGTTGTTGTTGGTCATGAGGCCTGAACTCTGGGCCTGGGCGCTGTTCCTCAGCTCTTCAGCTTAAGGCGAGCGCTCTACCACTTAAGCCACAGCACCACTTCCTTCGCTTACTTTTTTTTAAAACTAACTTCAACTAATTGTACAGGAGGCGTCATTTTAAATATGGCCTTTTAAGTCCATTTACAATACACCAACATCAGAGCAGCCGACACCCTTCTTCCCTCCCCCACTGGCATGTTCTTCACACTCTTTGGGTGAAATTCATATCAAGGGCTCATATACCTTATGGGTTTTAAGGTTAAAATAGTTAGAAATGTCATTCTTTAAATAAATAAGGAACAATAAAAATCACTATTTTCTTACCTTTAAACCTTCCGTTGGAAGTCTATAACCAAATCTTGCTGGGAGATCCTCAAATGTCTGAGATGCATTTTCAAAATTATACTAAATATAAAATTAAAAGTCAAATTTAAGCCAAGTTACATCTGGCATTTTAAAAATTATTAAGCTAGATATAGTATTTCCAAAAGTCTGGCTTACTACTGTAACTTATTATAATAAAATCAGTTTTGTGAATATTCATCCACTAAAATAGCAAGGAAGATACATAATTTATAACATACAACTGTTCAAATTTGAATCTGACTTCATCTAGGGAAGGAAACAGTATTAACTCATACTTTTAGAGCATTGTCAAGTTCATATAGGTTGAACAATTTTACCCAGAGCTGAGCAAAGGGGGAAATAAACTTAATGAAATACAAAGAGAAAACTCTTTGACAACCTTCCTCTTAAGATATTCAATCTGTTCTGCTCTTCTACTAAGTCAACAACAATAAACAAAGAAAACCACTCTGTGCTTTTAGAAGGTAAAAATAAGGCTAGGAGTATAGCTCAGGGGCACTTTCCTAACACACACCAGGTCCTGGATTTGATCCTCAGCATCACTCACTCACTCGCTCACTCAGACACACCACACACACATACATGCACACACGATAGAATGGCAATAACATAATTGTAAGGTGAGCTTGCTCAATCATTTGTAATTTCCAACCTGCTATGTAGAGAACAAAAGAATAGGAAGACAGATAAAACCAAGCAAAGATAGGAAACAACTAACTTTTGAAACTGGTGAAATTTGTCATAGATTAGAGGTTAAGATACTTTTCATAACCCATAAGTTCTGACTAGTAAACATCAAAGAACATTTTTTAACCATAGAGCAAAAAGATGAGATAAGTGGGCACACCAGTAGTTCATGGTTGTAATCCTAGCTACTCAAGAGCCTGAGATCAGAGGGTCAAGGGTTAGAGATAGCCCAGGCAGAAAATCTGTGGGATTCCTTCTCTAACTATCCACAAAAATATCAAGCTGGAGGTATATCTCAAGTAGTAGAGTGCCAGCCAAACTTTCACAAGGCCCTGGGTTCAAGCCACTATATTAAAACAACAACAATAAAAGATAGGATAAAGCCAGGGCAATAGATAACACTAATTGTAACATGGATAGAAAAGGAGGCAAGGATCAAGTGAACCTTAGAGCATCACAAAAATAGGTCACACATCCAGTTTATTTACATCACTCCTAAATCACACTCATTGGGGAGTCCCGGTCTAGCTTCTTGTGTCATCTTCAGAAATGCAAAAATAAACACTTCCACCATAAAAAGTATTATATAGAATTACTCTGTGTGTGTGTGTGAGTGTGTGCATAAAAATAGCACAATGAGGGGCTGGGAAGGTGGCTCAGTGGTAGAGCTCTTGCCTTGCATGCATGAGGCCCTGGGTTCGATTCCTTAGCACCACATAAGCAAAAAGCCGGAAGTGGTGCTGTAGCTCAAGTGGTAGAGCACTAGCCTTGAGCTGAAGAGCTGAGGGACAGCGCCCAGGCCCAGAGTTCAGGCCCCATGACCGGACCCAAAAAAAAAAAAAAAAAATAGCACAATGAGGGCTGGGAAGGTGGCTCAGTGGTAGAGTGCTTTCCTTGCATGCATGAGGCCTTGGGTTAGATTCCTCAGCTCCACATAAGCAGAAAAAGCTGGAAATGGCGCTGTGGCTCAAGTGGTAGAGTGCTAGCCTTGAGTGCCCAAACCCAGAGTTCAGGCCCCACGACTGACAAAAAAAAAAAAGGCACAACAAAACCCACCAAAAACTGTAAAAAAGGAAGAGGATGGAGGGAGACAGGTTAAGAAAGAGTAACAGATAGATGCAGTGATCAATCTGTGAAATACAGATTGAAAGAAAAGATATGGAAGTAGAAAGGGGACTGTTTTGGAAAAAGGAGAAGAGGATACTATCTTTTCAATGTCAGAACTGCTCTAGTGGTCTATGAATTCTCTTACATCTCTCTCTTGGGAGGAACTGGTCTCTATTACTTCCCTACTAGCATCAAGCAAATCAGCTGCACACAGCAAGACTCAGAGTATATCATATGTGCATATATACAGAGTTAATTCTTCTTTTCCTAGCTTTACAGAAATGAAATATAAGACGTATCTCTACTTCCAATGTAGAGGAAAGAAAAAAACATGGCTGAGAGAAGACTACTAAGGTTTTGGGGAACACTGTTCCCCATTAAAACCTTTTTTCTTTTCACCAACAAAGATAAGACATCTATGTTTCTCTTTGGACTTATTTATTCTTAGATTGAGTCTTTCAATAAACATCTTTTAGAATGTCTTAAAATACCATCAATATAATATTGAGATCTTACAGCCTTTAGAAATATGCTTGGCATCAAGAAGCCAGCAAAACTTGACATAAGCCCACAAGCATGTAGATGTGTGTGCTGAGTATAAGAGGTACACATGCTCAAGAACAACACCACTTCTCAGATGTAGCCTGTGCATGAACTCATGTTAGACATCAAGCAACACAAATGAATCAGGCTCCACTTTTAAGTAACGGTGTCTGTGCTTGGGTATACTTATAGGTAAATGCCTGTAAGATTCTATCATGGAGGATTTTTAAAAAGAATGTTTTTAAAAAAACATTCCCTATGGGATGTTTTTAAGACATAAATAATGTACTTACTGCTAAAATGCTTGCTTCTACAGGCAGTAGGTTTAGAGATGCAAAGAGCTGGACAGTCAGGATGGTGTAGATTTGTGTGGCTGACAACATGAGCATTCCTATGGAGAGCAGCATCTCGTAAAGTCTCCTGTAGAAAAGGACAAGAAAGGCCTTAAAAACTGTTGATTTCTTTCCAAGAATACACCATCTGTTATCATGAATTCCTAATATCCAAAAGCATTCTTTTACAATCATACAAATGCTAAAATTAAAACATATTTTAAAGCATTTAGGCAAATAACCAAGTGTTTTTTCAAATGCAAAAACTCCTAAATCTTAATCTCTTCTAGACTCAAACATCTGAGATAAGCAGATAGATAAGTGATACATATACACACACACAAATATATATACCTATTACTTTTTAACACTATGCATTTCTATCTCTATATCTAAATGGCAATAGGGCAGTTCTCTGTATCAGTCCCTATTTATCTTGCAGCAAATCAAGATACTAAGTGTTAAACAGTAAATAATAAATTCTCATCAGCAAGCCTCCATCAATTGTATATAATGCTTGTAAATAAGCACATTGTTTACAAACATGAGACACAATAATGAATTACTAAATACTACCAATTTATATAATATCATTTGATGATGATTACTGTTGCTAAGTGCTCTAGATTTGGAAGCTACTTCAGAGTAAAACTGAATCTTTGACTCATTGATGTTTTTGACTCACTACTTTGACTGAAAACAAAGTATCTGTGAATAATTTTTAACTACCATCTTTCAAGGCCATTAATATCAGAGATGAAATCAAGGTGAAAATAAGCTAAAATATAGATTTGTTCCACAGACACAAGGTAGTTTAGTGGTTGACATGGACCAAGACAAGAAGGCTTGAGGCAGAGAAGAGGGGCAGATAAGAGTGGGGAATGACTGTTAATGGGTACAGATTTTGGAAGAAGGATGTTCTAAAATTAGACTGCAGTGACAGTTGCAAAATTTTATATTAAAAATAACATCTGTAAATTCCAAGTGAACAACACTTTTTTTTTTTGCCAGTCCTAGGACTTGACCTCTATGTCTGGGTCCTGTCCCTGAGCTTTTGTGCTCAAGGCTAGCACTCTACCACTTGAGTTACAGCTCCACTTTTTTGGGTAGTTCTTAGCGGAGATGAGAGTCTCACAGACTTTCCTGCTCAGGCTGGCTTTGAACGGCAATGCTCAGGTATTAGCCTCTTAAGTAGCTAGGATGACAGGTGTTGAGACACTGGTGCCTGGCTCAAGTGAGTGAATTATATCATAAAACTCTTCAAGATGTGTAGCTTTGACAATTGCTTTTAAAGGTAAAATACATCTGGTAACATTCTAACCCAGCAGTACTGAAATTGCTGCCCTTAGGAAGAACAGCTATCCTGATTATAGACTGGCCTTTGGCTAGCATCCCACCATCTTCTTCTAAGAATCGAATGCCTAAATTCTGGAAGAAAACATAGGGAACAGCTCTACAATATTAAACTGGGCAATAATTTTGGATATGATACCAAAATACTGGCTATCAAAGGAAAAATAGATAACCTGGATTCTATGAAAATTAAAGACTTGTAGGTATTGAAGGACATTGTCTGTGCTTTGGCTAGCATCCCTGTCATTTCCTGGTTTAAGAAGTCTAGAAGGAAAGTTATAGTTCTTGTTTAGATCAAACAGATCAGCTGGGTGCCTATTTTTTCTTCCTCATAAAATGGATTAGCATCTATACCCTACTTTGTAAGAATACTTTTTTTATGTCATTTCTGGTCAGAATTTGCTCATGTTCAATAGTATGGATGAATCTAGAGGACTCAGCATGTGGTTGTACTCTTGGCTGTGATTTATTACAGCAGAAGTAAACTCAGCAAAGGGAACGGCATGTGAGGTAAAGTGCAGAGTAATGCAGGTGTAAGCTTCTAAGAGTCCTTACCCAGCAAAATCACACAGATGAGCCCAGTTCCTTCTAAAAACTCATTTGAAGCACCAGAGTTTCACATATTGCCTCTTAAGTCTTTGATACATTTTGAGTTAATTCTGGTATACATTATAAGGCAGAAATCTAGGTTTTACTCATTTTGCAAATGGATATCCAATTTTCCCAAAAGTACTCATTGAAAGAACTATACAGAACTATACCCCCACACATGTACCTACTTAGTCTTGTTGTCCTTATCAAAATGCATTTGACCATGTATCTTGGACTTTATTTCTGGGCTCTGTGTTCTATTCCATTGGTCTGTCTATATGACAGTTTCACACTATTACTGTAGCTTTGCAGTAACCTTAAAGTATGAGACATCCAACTTTGTTATTTTCAATATTGCTTGGCCTATTTGGAATCCCTTGAGATTCCATAAGAAGTTTAGAATAAATTTTTTCAATTTCTGCCAAAAAAAAAAAGTCATGGAAGATTTTGGGACTGCAATAAATCCATAAGCTGTTTTGGGTTGTATTGATATTTTAATAATACCAAGTTGATTCATGGATATATTTATTTGTTTTCAATTTCTTTCACTTAAGTTTTATAATCTTCAGTATATAAGTCCTTTTACTCCTTGGTTGAGTTTATTACTATATATTTTATTGAGTTTTGCTGCTATTATATACAGAATTGTTTTCTAAGTTCCCTTTTTGATGTGCTCACTGCTAATGTATACAACTGCAGGTGATATTTTTGTGCATGTTCTGAATGTGTGTTCATGTGTGTGTTCGTGTGTGTGCCTGTGTGTGTCTCGGACTGGGGTTTGAACTCCAGAGCCTTGGCACTATCCAACCTGTGAGGTTTTTGCTCAAAGCTAGTGCTCTACCACTTGAGCTACAGTTCCACTTCCAGCTTTTTGGTGGTTAAGTGGCGATAAGTCTCACGGACTTTCCTGCCCAGGCTGGCTTCAAACCACAGCCCTTAGATCTTAGCCTCCTGAGTAGCTAGGATTACAGGTGTGAGCCACCAGCTCCAAGCTCCCAACTTATTTCCCTTTTTATAACTTGACTTATTATTAAGTTGCTTCCTAAGCTGTGTTTCTGAATCACTGAAGTCTTAATTGCTCTATGGAATGTTATATGGATGTCCCCCAGAAGCTCATGTACTGAAGGCTTGGTCCTCCACACAGTACAGCCAGGTTCAAAGGTGGAGCTTTGGGAGGCAACTGGATCATGAGTGCTCCAACTTTATGACTGGATTAATACATTTAAGAATGAGAGAGAAGCCAGGATCTGGTGGCTCATGACTGAAATCATAGCTACTCAGGAGGTTGAGATCTGAGGATCACAATTCAAAGTCATTCCAGGCAGGAAAGTCTGTGAGACTCTTATCTTTAATTAACCACCAGGAAATTAGTAGTAGAGCTGTGGCTCAAATGGCAGAACATTAGCCTTGAGCAAAAGAGCTCAGGGACAGCATACAGGCCCTGAGCTGGGGGGGGGGGGGAGGGGAGAATTGTAGTTTTGTTGATTTTTCTCTTGACCTCATTTGGAGAACTAGAGCACCCTAGCTGGCAAACGTGATTATCTGCATGAGGTAAGGGCTCAGATGACAGTTACTCATCCAGTTCTGGTCTGGTAACTGCAAATTTTAAAAGTTCCCAAGATTCACAGCAAATCCTAACTTTACATTTAAATCTGTGGCTAGACTATATACCTCCCCCATACAAAATTAACTTTTTAAACTTTAAGAATGACAGAAATATTAAACAAGAGTTGAAGATCAATATTCCTTCCAGAAATTTTCTTTGGATGACTCAACAATCTTGTGCCAATGAACACTCATGTGACAGCCGTGTCCTGAAGAAAGCCTCAACGTAAGCTGTCATCCATTGCTCAAGCCACATTCCTTAGCATCACTGGCTTTTAAAAACTGGACCAAAACACTCTACTAAAATAACTATCTCTAAAAAGCCAGAAGTGGAGTTGTGGTTCAAGTGGTAGAATGCTAGCCTTGAGTGAAAAAGCTAGAAGACAGTGCCCAGGCTCCAAGTTTGAGCCCCAGTATCACCACCAACAACAACAAAAAAAAGGTTTTTCATTCTTATCTTGTACTTTTCCTGCCCCAATCCTGAAGGTTTGTAGAAACCTTAAAAATATTTAAAGTTTTAGAGTACTAGAGCAAAAAACTTCCTCTCAAATGATGGGGAAAAAAGATTTGAACTGCTTTTATTTCACTCTAACTTTATGATTATTTTTGAACATCATTTTAATTATAAAATGTCTTCCAAAGTTTAAAATAAACAATTGAGACTTAACTATTATCCCCATACTGCATATTGCTGAAATTTATATGATATAAAAATCGTTGTGGTTTCTCTCAAGAGTTTGTTGTTGTTGTTTTAACAAGTACACTTTACCAGTCCTGGGGTTGAACCTCTGGGCCTAGGAACTGTCCCTGAACTTCTTTAACTCAAGGCTAGCATTCTACCATTTGAGCCACAGTGCCACTTCTGGCTTTTTGAGAAGTATATTGGATATTGGTGATAAGAAGCTCATGGACTTTCCTGCCCAGGCTCCTTTAAACTATGATCCTCAGATCCTCCTGATTCATGAGGATTATGGCATGAGCCATTGGCACCAAGCTTCTCAATAGATTTTGAGGTTTAATTGCTAAGACTGTACGGAGAATATAATGTCCAGATCAGAGCTCTAATCCTGATTCCATTACTTACTGACTTAAGTTAATGCCACTGTATTAGCGTCTTCATATATTATTACATTGCCATTTAGTAAAATTTTTATGATTCTAAAAATAATGCCCATCAGAAGATAAAAAGCACTGATTACTCATCTTAACTTTTGTGACATCTTTATCCTGTGTGCTGCCACGGGTTCCAATTGACCCTTGCTCTCTACCTCACCTTGAGCTCTCCATTCTGAATTCCAGTAACCCACAAAGCCCTGGGTCACCCAGCACAAGGCCTTGTACATTCACCTTAGTAGGCTGCCACTGTTTTTGTATCATTCATATCAGTCAAAGTGCTTCTGCCTTTTATCTAACCATGACTGCTTTTTATCTAACCATGCAGACTTTACATCATTGGTATCTTACTATGACATATATGGTTTTTAACTTGAAGCTATATCAAATATTTCCTCTTATTAAAATCCTACAAAATCATCACCTTAATAGATACTGATATGGCTAGTTCATGACTTTCACTATTCCTTCTATACATAATATTAAATTGAAGCCAACTATTGCTATTACAAAGCTTTATTAAAATATAAATTTTGGGGCTGGGAATGTGGCTTAGTGGTAGAGTGTTTGCCAAACATGCATGAAGCCCTAGGCTCGATTCCTCAGAAAAAAAGCCAGAAGTGGTACTGGGGCTTAAGTGGTAGAGTGCTAGCCTTGAGCAAAAGAAAGTTCAGGGGCAGTGCCCAGGATCTGAGTTCAAGCCCCAGGACTGAAAATCAATCAATCAATCACTTTTTTTTTTTTTTTTTACATTTCTGACTATCTTATGGCAGATTCTTACATGTGGAATCACCACATCAAAGAAACATCTTGTTACTGTTTGAATAGGAAATGTCCCTTCAGACTCAAGCATTAGGTTTGGTCCTAGCTGGTGGAGCTATTTGGAGAGTTGGTACTTCTACCAAGCTCATGTCAGTTTCCAGTATTTCAGCCTTTTCAAATCCACCCTTCCTGCACTTAACACATCTTGCCTCAGCTGCTGTTAACTACTCTGCACTGAATTCCAACCTCTCAGCTTCTACTTTAGCCCTGGGCCTTTATTCCCAGAATATTGAGAACATTGCTCTGGGTTTCTCGAGTGATCACCATATATAAAATCCTTAGCCTGGCATTTAAGGATTTCCCTAATCTGCATCCAGATTTCACCAGCCTGCTCCTTCCACATATAGCCTTGGCAAATGCACCCTGCCTTTCCCACCTCTACACCAGACTCTGGAGTGACCCTGTGTGGAGCATTTTTCTTCCCTCCCTTCTCCCACTGACAACAACTATTCAAATAGCCATATCCTCAATGAGAAAGGAAGGAGGCTGAGACCCATCATTTGCTGAACATATCTTGTGCCTGACAAATTATACTAATCTCCAAATACTAATAAGGAGAAGTTAAGGAAACAAGTTTACCCAAAGTCACCAGCAAGTAAGAATCCGAAATAGTCCACTGGCATTCTGTAACTTTTAATGAAATAGGTCAGTAGAGGGGCAGGCTACAGTTAATCCAGCATCAGCAACTCTACTACTTAGCTGTGTGTGAACTGAGCAAGTTATATATCTAAGATGTTTCAGAAACACAAGAGCTGGTATAGGTCTGAGTTTCACTTATGAAAATGGCAGAACTCAACTATCTGCCACATTGATGACTGTGAGAATCATTTGAGATCAAGTACTTAGAAGTCTATTTGGCCTATGGCAAATAATGTTAGCTGTTATTACTGTTTGGCTACTTATACACTATAAGGTAGAAACTGACAATGTCAATCATATGCTGTCAATATTCACAAGTCTATTTTTATGCAGTGTAAAAGCATAGTAAGGTGTTTTTATGTATGTTAATATTTATAGAATACTTGAATTTTTAAACCATGACTGATCAACCAACTTTATTAAAAGGAACTCACTTGTCTACTATTTACTCTTTTGAGACAAAGGGAAATGCATTACCAACTCTCTTCCCCTTTTTACATGTGAAACTGGCATATGCAATACCATACTGGTAGCATGTCAAAGGATACAAACTGCTATGTTTATTTAAACTCCTTCTGCCCTTTAATAAATATTACTAATTTCCAGATTTTAAAATGTCCAAAATCATACTTTTTATTTAAAGATCAGACTATGAACTGAACTGGTTTGTTAGATACTATGGTATGCTTACCTAAAAATGGTTTACTCTTGGCTAGGTGCTAGTGGCTCACGCTACTCAGGAAGCTGAGATCTGAGGATAGTGGTTCTAAACCAGCTTGGGCAAGGAAGTTCATAGGACCCTTATCTCCAATTAACCACCAAAAAAACTGGAAGTGGTGCTGTGGATCAAAGTGGTAGAGTGCTAGCCTTGAGCAGAAAAGCTCAAGGACAGCGCCCGGGTCCAGAGCTCAAAGCCCAGGACTGGCACCAAACCCCCCCCCCCCCACACACACACACAAATAGTCCCCTCCAAAGTGCTGGAGAGAAATGAAGAGAAATGAAAGCTTAACCCCATAAGCTTCAGTAGTCAACTGAATAGCTGAAATTAAGCAATAGCTTAGGTAAAACACACATATATTTAATATATGCACATACTAATAAGACAGTTGTTATGCCTTATGCACAGAAATAACTGTTTCTACTCAACCAATTAAAAAAATACTTTAAAGCTTAGCTATGTAACAGATTTTCTTTTTCAGTGCCAGACTTTGGACTAGAACTTGGCCTGGACTCTGTCCCTGAACTTTTTTGCTCAAGGCTAGCACTCTGTCACTTGAACTGCAGCTCCAGTTCTGGCTTTTTTTGGTAGTTAGTTGGGGATACGCATTTCTTGCCCAGATAGGCTTTGAATCACAATTCTCGGATCTCAGCCTCCCGAGTAGCTAGGATTACAGGGGTGACCCACCAGATTTTCTTTCATTTAATCTCTGCAACTTTTCCCTCATTTATAGATATCACAGAATTAATAAGTGGCAGAGGGGAACCTAACCTGACTGAAACTCGGAATCCAGTATTTTGAAACATTTGTTTTCTGTAATCCATGATAATGCATTTAAAATTTACATCTTCCTGATGATGCATGCACACAGAAAGGTGGGAGGGGACCCCCTAAAGGTTTATGAAAGGTTTACTCCTCCTCCACAAACTGATGAGGAAATCCACTCGCGGACCCTTTGGGGCCTTGCAGGGCAGCGCGGCAGGCCAGCTGAACTCCAGTGTAAACCTCCACAATCCGGGGGTTATTTTGAAATGGACCTATCTGCTTGACTCGCCAGAAACTGTCCTAAAAGCGGATGAGAGACCCACAGGGCGCCCCTCCCTGAGCCGGCCCGACCGGCCGGGGAGGAGGCCCGGGAGCAGCGCCCCGCCCGCGGCCGTCCCGGCTCCGCACCGGCCCCCGGGGGCGGCCGGGCCACCGCGCCGTCAGCGCAGGGGCGTGACGGCTGTGGGTGCGTGCGCGCCGGACGGCCTCGGGGGCAGCGCGGCGGCCTCGGGGGCAGCGCCCGCCCGCCCGTCACCGGTGCCCGCCCGCCTCGGGGGCAGCGCCCGCCCGTCACCGGCGCCCGCCCGCCTCGGGGGCAGCGCCCGCCCGCCCGTCACCGGCGCCCGCCCGCCTCGGGGGCAGCGCCCGCCCGTCACCGGTGCCGCCCGCCTCGGGGGCAGCGCCCGCCGCCAGCGCGGCCAGCCCAGGAGCCCCGGCGGGCAGCGGGGCGGGGGGGGGGGGGTCGGGGTCCGGGAGGGACCGCGCCCGGCTCTGAGGGGACCGAGGGAGGTGGGGTGCCGCGAAGGGCGTCGCGGCCTCCGCCCCGCCCGCCGACAAAGCAGCCCCGCCAGCCAAGTCCCGTGACGGCGCCCGAGGCCGGGACGGCGAGGCGCGGGGCCCCGGCCCAGCAACTTCAGGCGCGGCCGGCCGGGCGCGGGGCCGCGGGGGGCGCGGGGCGCGGGGGGGCGCGGGGCCGCGGGGGGCGCGGGGCCGCGGGGGGCGCGGGGGGCGGGGGGCGCGGGGGGCGCGGCGGGCGCGGGGCGCGGGGGGCGGGGGGGCGCGGGGGGCGGGGGGCGGGGGGCGCGGCGGGCGCGGGGGGCGCGGGGCGCGGGGGGCGGGGGGCGCGGGGCGCGGGGGCCGCGGGGCGCGGGGGCCGCGGGGCGCGGGGGGCGCGGGGGGCGCGGGGGCCGCGGGGGGCGCGGGGGGCGCGGCGGGCGCGGGGCGCGGGGGGCGGGGGGCGCGGCGGGCGCGGGGGGCGGCGGCCCGGGCTGCGCCCTCCTCCAGTCGCCGCGCCCGGCTCGCGGGCCGCCGCGGGGACCCGGGCCGCCGGGCCGAGGCGGAGCTCGAGCTCCGGGGAGACGTGCGCCCCGCCGGGCCCCGCCGCCGCGGAGCGGGGCGGGCTCTTACCTCACGCCTGGCCCCGAACACGGGCTCGCGGCCGCGCGGCGGCGGAGGAGTCCCTACCCGGACCTCATGACTGGAGGTCCGCGCCGACCCACCGCCCCGAGCCCGCCGCGGACGGCCGCAGCGCCACGCGGAAGTCCCGCCCCTCGACCCCCATTGGCCCGCGCCGCGGTTGGCGGAAGGCTATTGGGCCTCGGAGGTGTCAGTCCAGGCTCCGTCCCCCCCCTCCCCCGCCCCCACCTCTTCGCGCCGGGGCTCGCGGCTCGCCTCAGCCGCGCGGGACGGACGCCCGGTCCTCGGGTCGCGTTGCCGGCCTCGTGACGCGGGCCCCGGGAGGGAGGGAGTCAGGGCGGGGTGCGGCGCGGGGGCTGCTCCCGGCGGAGGACCGACTGCGGCCCCGGGAGAGGGGGCCCGCTTGGGCCGAGGCCTGCGGGGGCCGCGGCAGGGCGGCGTTGAGGGCCGGGCGGGCCGGGCGGGCGCGGAGCCGCGCTGCGGGCCGGGAGGGCCGGGCGGGCGCGGAGCCGCGCTGAGGGCCGGGAGGGCCGGGCGGGCGCGGAGCCGCGCTGAGGGCCGGGAGGGCCGGGCGGGCGCGGAGCCGCGTTGCGGGCCTGGTCCGGAGCCGCGCTGCGGGCCGGGAGGGCCGGGCGGGCGCGGAGCCGCGCTGCGGGCCGGGAGGGCCGGGAGGGCCGGGCGGGCCGGGCGGGCGCGGAGCCGCGTTGCGGGCCTGGTCCGGAGCCGCGCTGCGGGCCGGGAGGGCCGGGCGGGCGCGGAGCCGCGCTGCGGGCCGGGAGGGCCGGGAGGGCCGGGCGGGCCGGGCGGGCGCGGAGCCGCGTTGCGGGCCGGGAGGGCCGGGCGGGCGCGGAGCCGCGTTGCGGGCCGGGAGGGCCGGGCGGGCGCGGAGCCGCGTTGCGGGCCGGGCGGGCCGGGCGGGCGCGGAGCCGCGTTGCGGGCCGGGCGGGCCGGGCGGGCGCGGAGCCGCGTTGCGGGCCGGGCGGGCGCGGAGCCGCGTTGCGGGCCTGGTCCGGAGCCGCGCTGCGGGCCGGGAGGGCCGGGCGGGCGCGGAGCCGCGCTGCGGGGCGCGGGGCGCGGGGCAGGCCTGGTCCGGAGCCGCGCTGCGGGGCGCGGGCGGGCCTGACCCGGCCGGCGGGTCGGTGCAGGGAGGGCCTGGCCTGGGCGGGAGGAGTGGGCGCGTTGTGCGGGGCGCGGGTCTTGCAAAACAGAAGTCAAGCCCCGATCTCCCGTGAACGCAGACTCAGCTCTGACCCACGATTGAGCGAGGCGCCCGGCGTTGACATTGTCCGCCCCATCCTCACCGACCACGCACCAGGGTAGAAAGCAGACCGGCCAGAGACGTCTGAAGTGCAAAGATTGCAGCCCCGGGAGTAAAACGTCAGCAAATAGGAGATTCTGGCCCTTATTTAAGCCAGGAGGTAACTAGCGCCGGCCTCAGACCCTTTAATGGGGCAGAGAAGTCTACCTTGTGACCAGGGAACCCCACTCCATCACCCGGGACCTGTGAAACGCAGGACCTAGCGGCCCTGGAGAGAGTTCCCCCAACTCTGCTTTTCCTTTGTCCTTTTTAAAGTTTAAGCTCAGAATTTAAATCTCATTTAGACATTTAGAAATCATTTTTTAAAGGCTATCAGAGGAACTTCTATTATCCATGTATCCTATGACCATCATAGATTCTGTACATTCTTAAATTTTCACTGATTGAGATGACAGTAAATGCTCAACTATTGTATAGTCCTTTTAGGAAAATCACAAGTAAACTGGGGGTGATGGCCTCACCTATAATCCTTTCTATTCTGGAGGCAAAACTGGAAGATTGCAGTTAAAAGCCATCTGAGATCTCACCTCAAATCAATAACCCGGCATGACAGTGCCGGCTTTGAACCCAGCTACCTAGGAGGTATGGGCAATGATGTAAGATTCTCCGTGAAAATTAAGTAAAGCAAAAAGTTTTTTTTTCTTCTGTGGACTGGGAAAGAGGGTAGATTATCATTAACACCTCATATATGATCAACCTTGCCATTAAAGATTGCAGGACCAAATATATTTATCAAGAAACAGGGAGTTGGGCACTAGTGGCTCACACCTATAATCCTAGCTACTCAGGAGGCTGAGAACAGGCAGAAAAATCCCTGTGAGAGACTACTTATCTCCAGTTAACCACTAGAAAACTGTAAGTAGCCTTGTAGCTCAAAATTGTAGACTGCTAGCCTTAGAAAAAGAGCTCAAGGACAATGCCCAAGCCCTGCAAGCCCCACAACCTACAAAAAAAAGCGGGGGGGGGGGGGGTCCACAGAATAAGCAACACCACAGAAAAGGTGAGAACACAGATTGAAATGGTCCTGTCTTAATCCTTGGGTAGTTGATGAAAATGGAAGCCGTCTACCATTTAGATGCTAGAGAGGAGTGAGGCACAGCCTGAGGTATAAGCAGGGCACTAAGCATGATGCTTGGACTTCTAAGTAGAGAGGTTAAAAACAGACTTTCAATTTACAAACTTGGTTATAAAGCTTTCCAATCTACCACAGTGATGAGTTGTATTTCAATTAGTGAACTTTTTCATCTATTTCAGTTAAGTTGACAATGAACTGTATTTTATAACTTTTTCCAATGCTGCTTTTGTCTTTCTAATTGTAGACTTCTTTCCTGTTCACTGTAGATCTCTTCCTGTACCAAGCACGAACTTTCAACTACCAGTTGTACAGTTTTGCTTTCTGGAAAGAGTCTGCCTCTGGTTATGAGCTCTGTAGTCAGGAAATTCTCCTGGCTTCCATCTTTATACTGACTAAATCCTATCAGTCTTAGCAATTTATTTATTTATTTATTTATTTTTTTGGTCCAGTTGTGGGGCCTGAACTCTGGACCTGGGCGCTGCCCCTCAGCTCTTCAGCTCAAGGCTAGAACTCTACCACTTGAGCCACAGCTCCACTTCTGGCTTTTTTTTTCTTTTTGCTTTTGTGGTGCTGAGGAATCGAACCCAGGGCCTCAGGATGCAAGCGCTCTACCACTGAGCCACCTTCCCAGCCCCAGTCTTAGCAATTTAATGAGATACTTCTGCCTCTGGTTTGTTCATCTTCAAAGATAAAGACTTGAGGGTACTGCTTAGTGACATTTGCCATGTGTTTAAATGATCAAATGAAAGGCAGTAGGTAGGCTTAGTAGGAATAATAATGAAATCATATTTAAATATTAAAAACATTTTAATGCCAAAGCTAATATCTATTCTTATATATATGATATGATATATATATTAAATATGATATATAAGAATATATATGTGATCTTACCTATGATACTGTGGACCTGCTCTTCTCATATATATAATATATATTATTATAAGTGCTAGTTCTGAGTTTCTTGGTAACCCTATTTAGCACATGACATACAATTTTTGCTTTCATTCAATATTTACCATAGAGCATATTATGTATCACGAATCAGAAAATATTTTTATTTGTTGTGCTGGTCCTGGGGCTTGAATTCAGCCTAGGAACTGTTCCTAAGTTTCTTTTGTTCAAGGCTAGTGTTCTACCGCTTGAGTTACAGCTCCACTTCTGTCTTTTTTGGTAGTTAATTGGAAATCAAAGTCTCCTTGACTTTCTTGCCTGGACTGGCTTTGAACCAGTCTTCAAATCTCAGCCTCCTGAGTAGCTATTACAGGCGTAAGCTACTGGTTCCTGGGCAGAAAATATGGTAAAATCAGTGTAGACATATAGTTATCTCAGAGCTTTAAAAATGAACATATATACAAAGGCGCATTGCCTATGTGCATCTAGTCATACAAAATAATATTTATCTAAATGAATTCCAGGAAGTGGAAAACTGTCCAGACACAATGGCATTAAACCAGGGGAGTCATACAAATTACAGAGGAGAGTCTCCTTACATTCTAGTAAAATGCTTACTGGATCTGCTTGACTAAAGACATTTATATCGTTGCTCACTCTGAGTAGTGATTGAAATAAATCCCAGCAACACCAAGTGGGGTTGAAGAAGATCACAATTGTAAGTTGCTATTTAAATAAAGGCAAATACTTTTAAGAAATCTCAGCTGCATTGTGTTGCTGTTCAGCAGCTCCCATTACGCAATAACAGGATGAACACATACACATTCATCTCCCTGGTGCCAGGAATGTTGTCCCGAACCCTTTGGCAGGATCAGAAATACTGCCAGAGGACGAATACAGAAAGTTGTTATGGAAACAAGCCTGCTTCAACTCAAAAGTTATTTACAGACGACTTTCAGGATTATCTCATGCTACAAAACCAAGTCTTGCTTCATCCAGGCCAATACTACAAATACCTATTTTTAAGGTTTCTTCAGACAGCTGTCCTAGATTTAACATGGTCTCCAGAGACAGGGTGGTGATGACATCACCAAGGGTGATTTGTGTGTAGCATTTTTGTGTCCCACATTCGAAACTTGTTCACACTTGCCTTGCCATTGTCCAGTGTGTAGGCTGCCCTAATGTAGGAACAGGGTGGCTGTTGACTACAGCATGTAGCAGGGAAACATTTCCTGTCTCTCTGGACCCACCTATGATAACTGTGGACCTACCCTTTTCATTCTCTCCAGTTCCCCTCCAGGCTAGACAGTAGCAGCCGCTTCTGGCCGTCAGTTTTGCCCTTAATTTGTTTTTTGTTTTTCCCCTTCTCTGTCCTTAATTGTGAATTGGAATTTTTCCAGCTATTCAGGAGCATCTTTGAAAAGAGGAAGCTTTTTGTTTTATTCCTCTTGTTTCTGAGAAAGTGATTGAATAATGAGGATTTTCATAGCTTTTGAAGGATCTTTTGAACCTTTTGATGTTTCAGCAGATGAAACTGTGGAAACTGTCAAGCTGATGATAAAGGTACGCACTTTGTCCTAGAGCCACTAAAATGTATATTGATTTTAATTGTGCAGTATAGCTTAATGAATGTGTTGGATGTTTTCAGCAAGCAGTAAACTGATGAAACCATTTGAAAGTATCACTATTTGTTTACAAGATAGGTTGGTAAGAATCTAGTAGCTTTGGAGAGGTTAGTACCAGTATCACCAAATAATAGTAATTATTACCATATTATATTATTATACATATTATTACTGAAGGAAAATCTCAGTTTCTTA